CCCCTGCAGACCCAGAGTAGCATGGCCTGTTCTGGGAATTTGGTGTTTGTGGAATTGACTTGAACCTGGGCGGCTCTGGAGGTGACTGGGGGTGGGGAGCCTGAGGGGTGGGTACAGCAGTGATGTCAGCTGCTGGCCACTGTGCCACATGGAATCCTCGACTTGTGTCTTTCCTGCTTCCTCTGCATGATAACCCTTCCCCTGGCTAGAGCTGGACAGGAGGCCACTGTGGGAAGCCTGGCCCTGTTCACCCTGCCCACTGTCACCTTGGGCCCAGTACTCACAGGAAGGCCCCTCAGGTTTGAAGGCCTATAATGTGCAGTTCGCCCCCTTCCAGGTCCTGAGCCCAGCCTCCCCACTGGCTGAGCTTGGAGTAGGTGTAATTTGGAGGTGGGGCTTGGTCTGGAAAGTAGCAGAAAGTGTGACCCCCACCCCCACCCCAGACTCACACACACAGACACACATATTGGGTGAAACAAAGATTTTACAAGCAGCAAGGGCTCAAGATGTATGTGATTTAATACTTTGTTTTTTTTTTTTTAAAGATTTATTTGTATTTATTTGAAAGACAGAGGTAGAGAGAGAGAGAGAGAGAGAGAGAGAGGTCTTCCATCCACTGGTCCACACCGGAGTTGTACTGATCCGAAGCCAGAAGCTTCCTCTAGGTCTCCCATGTGGGTGCAGGGGCCCAAGGACTTGGGCCATCTCTACTGCTTTCCCAGGTCGTAGCAGAGAACTGGATCGGAAGAAGAGCAGCTGGGACTAGAACCAGCACCCATATGGGATGCCGGTGCTTCAGGCCAGGGCTTTAACCTGCTGTGCCACAGTGCCGGCCCCTGATTTAATACTTTGAATAATGCATTTAAGACATTCTGACTGCCTGAAGCCTTGGAGGGATTTTCCAGCAGAAAATCTCTGATCCCAGACTTGGTTTTTGAGAAGAAGGGAGAGCGACCCAGTGATGGCTCACAGCTCCTCGCCTCACAGCACACATGGCCTACACACTGGAAAAAGCCAAAAAGCCGAACCTGGATACCCCCCGGGCCGAAACTGGACTGTGGGACGAGTAACCAGGGTGAAGCCAGAGTAGGCCTTGCAGTGGGTTCTGGAGACAGTCCGTGTCGGAGGGGAAGCCAAACCCGAGACCCCGAGCTAAGCCCAGCGCCCTTGAGATGGGCTGAAGTGCTCTCAAGTTGGTATCTGCCACTCTCGTTCTCCATAAAAGCTCAAAATAAATGCTCTCTGGGGGAAAGCATCCCGTTGTAAGATCAGAAGAGGGAGAAAGAATAAGGGGAAAAATCAACAAGAGCAAGAGTAAAATGAGCAGAAGAAAAGCTGGGTGGTGGAGGGGGGGCAGAAACCAAACCAAATCTATCACCAGCGATAGTTAACTGAGTGATTTGGAGTAAATTTGCCAATTAATTAACAGGGATTATCTGGTTGAGTTTGAAAAATCAGCCCTTTGCTAGTTATAAAATGATCACACACCAAAGAGCACAGGAAAGTAGGAAGTGAAATGGAATTTAAGACCAAGAGTCCCTGTGTCCTCCTAAGGGACCCGACCCACCCACAGAACAATAGAACAGGATTTTTTTTTTTAAAGATTTATTTATTTATTTGAAAGGCGGAGTTACAGAGAGGCAGAGGCAGAGAGAGAGAGAGAGAGAGGGAGGTCTTCCATCTGCTGGTTCACTCCCCAGTTGGCCACAATGGCCAAAGCTGTGCTGATCCAAAGCCAGGAGCCAGGAGCTTCTTCTGGGTCTCCCACATGGATGCAGGGACCCAAGGACTTGGGCCATTTTTCACTGCTTTCCCAGGCCATAATGGAGAGCCGGATCAGAAGTGGGGTATCTGGGACTCCAAACAGCACCCATATGGGATGCCAAACAGTACCGATATGGGATGCCGGCACTACATGCGACGGCTTTACCTATACACCACAACACTGGCCCCAAGTAGAGCAGTTTTGTTAACTCTTATATTACAGTAAGAACCACAGGAATAAAGCTAAAAACTTCTCATTGTGATAAATTTTAAACCACGTAACAATTTGTAATTGGTTAATCAAAAAATGAAAAAAAAAAAGAATGCTAAAATACAGGCAATGTAATGGGCATATAAGAGCTTCTTCCCCAAAATGAAGGAGTCCTGAACATGCATGAAATCGGTTTTTGAAATACCTGACCAGGTAGTAAGTCCTGGAGCAGAACATTTCCAGGCGTCTGTAGGCCACACATTGTGCTCTCTGAGTATAGTGCACTTGAGTTAGAAGTTGGTAAGAAAAGCAGCCTAAAAATCAGGTGAGAAATGGAACGGAAGTTCAATGTGCTGAGAACTGAAGGGCCAGGAAGCCGCGTTTTACAGAGGCTATGGCGGAGGGAAAGTGGCCCTCAGTAGGGGTTTCATGTGGAGTAGCAGGTAAGGCTGCCACCTGCAGTGCCGGCATCCCACACGGGCACCGGTTCGAGTCCCGGCTGCTTCACTTCCGATCCAGCTCTCTGCTATGGCCCGGGAAAGCAGCAGAAGATGGCCCAAGTCCTTGGACCCCTGCACCCGCATGGGAGAGCCAGAGGAAGCTCCTGGTTCCGGGCTTTAGATCAGCTCAGCTCTGGCTGTTGTGGCCATCTGGGGAGTGAACCAGCAGATGGAAGACCTCTCTCTCTGGCTCTACCGCTCTCTCTAACTCTTTCAAAAAACAAAACAAACAAACAAACAAACAAAAAAACAATAAATCTTTAAAAAAAAAAAAACCAGGAGTTTTATAATAGTCTCGGGTGCTTATGTGAGAGAAGACACACAGCTGAGTGCCGGCGGGCTGGGTTCCCAGCATGGGCAGGCAGACACTGCAGACCACAGCAGGAACCCGGGCAGGGGGCAAGGGCAGAATTGGGAGAACTTCCAGTCAGCATCAACAGAACCAAGAGATGCTTTGAAAAGACTGCGAAGGCTCCGGTGAGACTGAGCCGGGAGGAAGGGAGCCGTCAGTCACATGAGGGAAGCAAATGGGGATAGCGACAGACCCAGCAGAAACCAGACAGCAAGAAAATGCTAGAAACCACGCTGTGGCATTGCATCTGAAAACAAAAATCTTTTTATAATAAAGGTAGCGCAGGTGCGCCTTGTGGAGCGGCCGTGAAGGTGCCCCTCAGAATGCCCTAACCCATGGAGTGCCGGAGCACAAGCCCTGTGTCTCCTGCTACTGTGCACCCGGGAGGCAGCGGGTAATGGCTGGGAGTCCTTAGGTTCCTGCCACCCAGACGGAGCTCCTGGCTGCGGAGTTCTTCCTGCTGCAGGCATTTGGGGAGTGAGCCGGAAGATGGAAGCTCTCTCCTCTCTCTCTCTCTCTCTCTCTCTCTCTCTCTCTGTTTCTCTCTGTCAGAATTCATGAAAAGCTTCACATAGATACCTAAAGAGTGCCACAACCAGTAATGAATTGAACAGGAGATCTGAAGTCTCCCTACAAGCGCAGGTGGCTCTGCAGGTCGGTTTTAGCAAACATTCAAGCACAGGTGGTTCCGAGCTGCAGACTTTCCTAGGGAATGCCAAGAGCACAGAGGCTGGTTCTGCGAGGCCAGCACTGCCACACCAGACCAGGCAGGGCCACTGCAGTGAGACTGAAATTGCAGCCCAGTCGCACAGGTGCACATAGATGCAAAAACCCGAAACAGAATACCAGCAAACCAAATCCATCTGTCACTGAAAAGATACTACCTTGTTGTTGACCTGGGAAATGCTAGGAGGGGGTAACATTCTATACGAGGAATTGACTTCATTGATAGATTAAAGGAGAAGAGTTAACTCATTCATAAGTAACATAAAACAGAAACACCTTGGAAAGCCTGGTAGAGTGGAACTTTCAAAACATTAAAAGAACTCCATTTAAAACCAGCGATGAGATGGTGTGTGCGTGCGTGAGTGTGCTTGTGTGAGTGTGTGTCCCCATCATCATCGTTTCTGCCCTTCCCTGGGATTCCGGCCAGTGCACTCAGGTAACAACAGGATAAAGAAGAAACAGTACTGCCTCCTGTACAGATGGCGTGTCTCAGGAGAAAACCCAGACAGCTGTGGGAGCAGTAGTCAAAACAGTGAGAGTTTAACACAGTTATTGGATTCAAGATCAATATACAAAAATCAACCATTTTTCTCTATACCTGCAAAACAAGGTAACATTTTAATTAGCAATAAAATGTAGAAGGTATCCAGGAATGAATCTAACTGAAGACGTGAGACCTCTGTCAAAGCACATATAAAGCATTATTAGACAACAATGAAAACGACGTAAACCAATGAAAAGATTTATTATTTATAGGAGACTCAAGATCAGAAATATGCCAGTTATCCCCAAGTTGTTCTGTAGACAGACCTGATGCTCTTCGTCTTCTTTTTGGATTACTTATTTACTTATTTGAAAGGCAGAGTTACAGAGAGAGAGGAGAGGCAGAGAGAGAGAGGTCTTCTGTCTGCTGGTTCACTCCCCAAATGACCGCAACAGCTAGAGCTGGGCCAATCCAGAGCCAGGAGCCAGGAGCCAGGAGCTTCTTCTGGTCTCCCACGTGAGTGCAGGGGCCCAAGCACTCGAGCCATCCTCTGCTGTTTTCCCAGGTGCATTAGCAGGGAGCTGGATGGATGGGAAGTGGAGCAGCCAGGACAGAACCGGTGCCCACAGGAGATGCTGACACTGCGGGTGGCGGCTTTACCTGCTACGTCACAGCACCAGCCTCCACGTGTACCGTTTTACACACAACATGTAATGAATCTTTGGAAGAAGTATGAATATGAAATGAGACAGCTTAGAAGGGCATTTCTGTCTTTTAATGAAGACTTTGAATCGAGGCCCTGGATGCGGTTGCTCTGACCCCTGGTGGCCGAGAGTTGCTCTGACCCCTGGTGGCCGAGAGCTGAAGTGCAGCTGGGTTTGCTTGCTCCGGGATAGGCACAGGAGGTGCCTGTGTGAGACAAGGGGTCGGAGGTCCCGGCCACCCCCGGTCTCACTCCCGTGGAAAGGAGCGCACGCCCTGGGCTTTTTTGATTCAGGTTCCTTTGCCTTCTCTGGCTCTTTACCTCTTTAAGCCCAGCAGGAGGTATGGGGGATATACTGAAATTTATCCCTGGGTGGAACTAGCTGGCCCTGCTCTCTGCCTCTGTCCATCCTGGAGCCACACCCCAGAGACCAGGACTCCGTGAGCTCCTGAGCAGGAGTTCAGCATGTTCTGGGGCAGGAGGACGTGACACGGACATGCACATTGCCTGTGTCCAGGGAAGACCTCCTTCTGGGGGGAGTGTGGGTGAGGAGCCACCCAGGGCAGGTGCAGCATCTCAGGGTTCCCGTGGGGCGTCCAGTCAGCAGCCTGCCCACCCACCCAGCAGGCTGGCCCTCGGGCTGCTGGCTTACCTGCCCCGTTTAATCTGATTCCCACGAGAATTTCTGATGGGTGGGGTGGGGTGGTGCTGGCTATGGGAATCAGGCCAGGAAGCCCCCATCAGAATACTAGAGATGCCCAAGAAGGGTGGACTGGGGGAAGGAACTCAGATGAGATTTCCCCAAAGTCCTTTTACCACTCCAGCCCAGAGGCCATGTGGCCTGGTTGGGAGTGGGCTGAGGATCCGGGCCCTGCACCTGCTGTGGCGGGAGTCCACGGGCCTCTTGGCCTGTGACACACGGTAATCACTGAGCCTGCTGAGTGCGCTAACGGATTAATACAGAGCTCTCTGCAGGCAGCTGATAAAGGTCAGCTCTCCACTCAGGTTGCTTGGCCTCGCGCCTGTAGTGAGTGCTCAGGGAGGAACCACTGGGCAGGGCAGACTGATGGCCGCGGTGGGGCTCTCCTCCCCAGGGACTCCTGTGATCCTCCCTCTGTCTGCAGACGCCATGGAGGTGGTCCTGATCTTCCTGTGTAGCCTGCTGGCCCCCCGCTTGGTCCTGGCCAGTGGTAAGTGCCCCCCACCGCGCCCCCAGACTTGGAGGCGTAGGTTCTTCCTGTCTGGTCGGGTCCCCTCCCGTTAGTTGGCAGAGAAAGTCCTGGAAGGAGACGGCAGGTCACGGCCGAATCCCATTGCCCGTCTCCCCACAGCCGGGCCCGCAGGGTCTGCCATCGCGCTCTCCACCCCCTGCACTTCTGGCTTTGAGCTCTGGGGGTCAGAGCTGCATGTTGGTTTCTACGCCCTTCCTATCCAGTGTGCTGTTTGTTGCCATGACGCCTTCCTTGGTCAGTTTCCCCATCTGTCACCAGAGGAGAGCAGTGCCTGCCTCCAGGGGGCGATGTTAGAATGAAAAGGAGCAAGGACTTCACTGGCCTCTGAGCCCTCCAGGCCCTGGCCCCCTGGCTGAGCCTCACTTACCGGCAGGTCTGCCCCTCCCTGCCCTGCAGGGGAACCCCTGTGGGGCCCGAGATGTGTGAGCCCTGGTCAGACCCTTGGGAACCAGGACAGGCGCCGGCTGCCTCCTGACAGCGTCTCTCTGTGTTCGCAGCAGCTGAGCAGGAGAAGGAGAAGGACCCTTTCCATTATGGTGAGCAGTGACACCAGCCCTGGGTGCTGGGAGAGGGCGGCTGTGTCACAGGGCCTGCCCGGTCCTGGCCCCACTCCGTCTCTCACCTCCATTCCCTCCGCAGACTACCAGACCCTGAGGATCGGGGGATTGGTGTTTGCCGTCGTCCTTTTCTCCGTGGGGATCCTGCTTATCCTAAGTAAGTGTGTCCCTCTGTCCCCCGGGGCTGCCATGCGTGGATGCTGCACACGAGCCTGGCTGTCTTCCCTGCGCCCAGTGCAGTGCTGGGCGCGTAGTCAGTGCTCAGCAAAGCAGGGAGGCAGGGATGCGGGAGGGGAGCCCCCGCAGAGGGGGAGGGGCAGAGAGGCTCTCCCGGTGCTGGGGCTGGCCGTCACAGGAGGCAGGAGACAGATGCTGTGTTCCTTGATGTGAGCCTGGTCTGCACGGAGCTCCTGCCGGTGTTGCCGCTGTCCCAGCTGTTGAGTGTGCTGCCTTGGGCTCAGAAGGCCCCACCCCTCCTGGCAGGGCTGCTGCACACAGGTGTGCGTGCAATGCACCCCACCCCCCAGATCCAGGGGGCGCTTCCACCTGTACGGGCTCAGGGTAGCCTGGCCAGGGCTGAGCCAGCAGCATGAGCTGGGACTCACGCCACGAGCCTAACCTGGGACGCTTTGCTTGCCTTTCAGGTCGCAGGTGCAAGTGCAGTTTCGCTCAGAAGCCCCGGTGAGGATGCTGTGACGGTGGACGTGGGCGGGGAGGGGCTCGTGCGTGGCCCCAGAGGGGTGTGCCAGGGACCCTTGTCTCACAAAGGCCCTGTGTGCATAGTGGAAGTTGGAGGCTCGTCAGGGGACCTTGGGGGAAGAGGAGAGGTTGAAACGTGAAGTTAGCACATCCCTCCCTCTCCTGATGGCAAGAACGTGCAGAGCCTTGGCCGGAGCCCTCCAGACAGTTGGACCTGCTGGGAAGAGAAGGAGACCCCGTGGCCTCTCCGGGGCCCCTCCATGCAGGACCTGAGATGCTGTCCCTACTTGTCCCCTCTTCTGAAGCCCTTTTAACTGAGGGGACTCTCGGCCTCCCTCTCCACCCCCACACAGGGGTCGCACTCCACTAATCCGGAACAGAAACCAGGGGTGCCCCTGGACCCCTGAAGCCCAGGGCCTGCATCAGGACACCCCCAGGCCCCACGTGGCCGTCCCCAGTGTCTCTGGGGCTGACACACAGGGCACCTGCAAATTTCCTGTCCCGACTGCTCTGTGTGTCCCGGGCACCTGTGGTACAGAGCACGTGGACTGCTCAGAGCCGCTGCAGGAGACCCATCCCACGCGGCCCTGGCCAGCAGGGGGCAGCTGTGAGTTCTCCCTGGAGACCTGTGACGGGGCTGTGTGTCTTCCTCCCACAGGGCCCCCGGGGACGAGGAAGCCCAGGTGGAGAACCTCATCACCGCCAATGGTAACTGTCCCCGACCCCCCTCCCAGGTGGAAGAGAGGGGGCTGCAGGGGCCCCGCGGGAGGCCAGGGAACTACCCGGCACCAGCTGGGGCCGCCCTTGAACTATAGCCAGCCAGGCCTTGCCGTGCCAGGTGGGGGCTGCCTGGGGCTTGTACAGTGCCTCTCGCTGCCACTGCCACCACCACCACCACCACCACCACCACCACCATGCTGCTTATAGCCCTGGGAGGGAGGCCGTGGGGCCCTCGTTTTCCAACCCAGGGGTTCAGGGAGCATGCCCGAGCTCCTGGGAGCAGCAGCCACAGGGCAAGGACCTTGCGTGTCCCCTTCAGACTGTCCGGAGGCAGGCACGGGCAGGACAGCCACAGGGGTGGGGTCCCCACTCACTGCAGCCCCTTCTGGTTTTCTCGGCAGCGACAGAGCCCCAGAAGGCAGAGAACTGAGGTGCAGCCCTCCGGCGGGGAGGTGAGCCGCTCACGGGGGTCTGGGCGGGGGAGGCCGGCGCAGGGAACGGGGCTGGCTGCTGCAGCGGACACAGCTCTTCTAGTCCACCTGGTCTGCGGTGCCTTCAGGAGTCGAAAGGGACAGCGAGCATCCTGCCTGCACACCGTGGGCATCAGAAATGGGGCCTCCAACCGCGCCCGAGGGTCAGCCCCGCAGGCCTCGTCCCAGCCTCCACGTGGGCACGGCCTGGCGAGGAGTTGGGGTTTGCACAGTGCCACTGGTGTCAAAGTAGCCTCGATGACATCATCATGAGTCACAAAGACCATTTCTGGAGAGCCACTTAAAAAAAATGTGTAAAATTTCCAACCCTGTGCAGAACTAGCTCCAAGAGAAGTAGCGCCCCCTCCTATCCTGGTGCTACCAGTCGCTAAGATTGCAGGGTCCTGTCTTTAGGATCAGTTTCCAGTGTGTGCTCAGGGGACACAGAAGTCACCACAGGTCCCTGCATCCCGGTGTCCAGAGTGCAGCCCCTCCCAGGCCCTCGCCAGCCTGCCAGAAGCAGCAGAGTAGGACAGCTGGGGTTGGGCCCATTCTGTGGCTGCAGAAACTGAGGCCAGTGGGCATAGCTACACAGACCGGATGTGACAGGCCCGGCTTGGAGCTCAGGTCCCTGGCTGGCTGTCGGTGGGTGCCATTTCCACAATGGCCCCTGTCCTGCCTGTCCCACATGGGGACCCCCTGGGCCATGCCAGAGCATCGGGCTTCCATCAGCTCACTTTGGCCTCTCCTTCCTCTACAAGTGAGGTATGAGAGCCCCCAGCCTCCACCACCCTGCTGCCTGGGGATCTGGTGCCTGACACACAGGTTCTCCTGGGATCCTAAGGGCCCAGTGTGCTTGAGTGGCACCTGGACCCATTCCCTAGTGCCTCTGCGTCCCCCTGAACAGCCCGCAGGTGGGCTCAGGACGTCCATCTTCTGGGTGGGGCTCTGCAAGGTAGTGGTGGCCCCGGCTGGAGAGGGCCACTGGTCCCCGTCTAGGAGGTGGACGTCCTGCTGGGTAGTGTGGTGTCCTGTGCACTGCCGCTCCCCTGGCCAGCCAGGCCGTGCCTCCATGGCAATGGCATGGAAAGGCTCCAGGCAGGCAGCCTCCAAATGAGCGGGCTCCTCCTTGAGTTTTATTTCTCCCATGTGTCAGCACTGGGGGCACTTGCTGAGTGTGTCTTGGGTTCACGGCTGCCGGGCCCCGGCCGGCCTGGGAGCCCCCTTCCCCTGAGGCCCCTGCTGTCTCGGGCCCCTGCCTCGCTTCTCTGCAGCCCAGGCGTGTCCTTCGTGCTTAGCCGGGGACCTGGGGCTTTGAAAGGCCTCGCTCAGGGCGGGGAGGGGAACAGATCAGGAGCTCCCGCGGGAGCCGCAGCTGGGCTGTGACGGAAGTTCCCTCGCTCCCTCCCCAGCCTCCGGAACCTGCAGGCAGCTGCCCGGACTGCGACGTTGACACTCGAGAGAAGCAGCCACTCCGGTAGCAGACCTTTTCCCCTGGAGAAGCCGAGAACTTGTGTGTGCCCTGCTCCCCGGTCCCCTCTAACGTCTCCCTAATGATGCAGCCTCCGCCCGCGGTCCCGGCCCCCTCCCGTGACGTGTCCATGTGTCCATGTGTGTTTGCTGCCTGTGGTCTCGTGGCTACTTGTTTGTGGGTGACACCGTGTTAGTGAACTGTGGACTCGCTCCCCTGGGCAGGAGCTGGGCTCTGGCACTGCCGGCTCCTCCCTGCTCCTACTGCCCCCCCAGCACCTCCCACTCTTCCCGGTCTTCCCCCACCAGAGACCAGCCCTTGTCTTGATTGGGGGGTGGGGGGCAAAGTCAGAGTCGGAGCCTGGGCCAGAGACCCCAGCTGTTGTGGGAGCCGGGAAGGCTTGGCCTCACCCTCACCGTCACCCTTCATGGTTCTCTGCTCCTTTCACAAGTACCTGGCTCCTGTCCCGCCCCCGCCCCCCCCCCCACACGCACAGGCTCACACATGCCAGGTCTGGTCTGAAGGTCACTCAGCCATCGCAGATTCAGAGCGAGCAGCCCGAGAGCCTGGTGCAGCCTTCAGGCAGCCTCACACGGCCATCTTCCTCTGGGGGGCTTCCACCAGGAGCACCCAAGGATGCCAGGCCCAGGGCTTCCAGCCTGCCCCCCTGCATGTCTTAGCAATAACCCCATGGGCTCTGGGGCCCCCTGCGTCCTGCTTCCCAGACCTCCACCTGCAGCCCGGCTCGTCCCTGATGTTGGGTCTCCAGCAGGAGATGCTGAGGGTCTCCTGCCCTGTTGAGGACGCTGCTGGGGTGGGCAGCAGCGGGTGGGGAGGTGCCGGGGTGGGCGGTGGGTTTGGCTACTCTGACTGCATCTCTTCTCTGCCCGGCCATAGCCGGAGCGGTGAGGGCTGAGGGAGACCCTGGGCTCCGTGCAGCCCTGCTGCAGAGGGCTCAGCTGCACGGTGCAGGTCCCAGGAATGGAAATGCAGAGTGGATCCCGGTGCCCTCGTGGAGCCCCCACACCATGCCGCCGCGCCCAGGGCTGCCCCTCTGTCTTGTGCTCTCTCCTCGCGATAACATCAGAAACAGGAATAAAATATCACTTGTTTCCTAGCGGCTCTGGGGCGCTTTGCTTTCTGTACAAGAACTTAACCATCAGGAAGGCCTGTGAGCTTAAAGGGCCAAACCGTGGCCGTCCTTGGCCAGGGGAGGAAGTGAGGTCCAAGGAGGTAGCCGGGCAGGTGCGTGTTCATCTCCGCTGCTTTGGCAGACTCTCCCACCCCCACCCCGCCCACTTCTCTCCCTGTCCCTTCTCTGCCCTCCTCCCGCTGCCCTACTGGCCCTCACCCCCCACACCCCAGCCTGGGTCCCCACAGTGGCGGGGCTCCATCCCATCACAGCGCTGGTGCGCTCTGCACCTCAGAGAAAGGAAGTCACTGTGGCTTCTGCGAGGGTCAGTGGCCTGGTTAAAGCTTCTGACTTTTATTTCTGCTCAGGTCTGGGGCTGCAACCAAAGGCCTTGTGAAAGATGGATGTGGGTGGTCGCTTGGGTTATGCTCAAAGCCCTTACCAGTCAGGTGCCCCCTCCTCTGGGAAGCCTTCCTGGCCTTAGGTGCAGTGAGTCCCCTGTATTCTGGTAGCACTTGGTCCCTGGCTGTCTGCACAGTCGGTGCTCTGTGCCTGGATCCACACTGTAGGGCGCGGCCGGATCACGTCCCTGTGCAAATCGGCCTTTGTGGCACTGGAAAGCGGGGCTCTGGGGTTACCTAGGACATCTTCCCAAGGACGGTGCTAAAATTTTAAAATTTAAGTGTCAACTTTACTTGCTTGAGAGGCAGAAGGTCAGAGAGAGGAAAGGCAGTGGGGGAGAGCTCCTGTTGACCAGTTTACTCTCCAGAGACCCTCAACCCAGGCTTCCCACACAGTTGGCAGGGACCCAGTCCCTGGAACCATTCAGTGCTGCCTCCCAGGGTCTGCATTAGCAGGAAGCTGGGGCCAGGGCCAGGGATGGAACCCGGGTACTCTGATGTGGGACACAGGTGGCCTATGCCTGACACAGCACCCCACCCCACACACAGACACACACACACAAGACATTTCAGTTGAGTTTCTGAAAAAGTACTGTTAGGCCGCATTGTGGTGCAGTGGATTCAGTTCAAGTCCCGGCTGTTATGCTTCCAAATGCATCTCCCTGTTAATGTGCCTGGGACAGAGAAGGTTATAGCCCATGTACTTGGGTGCCTGCCACCCACATGGGAGACCTGGATGGAGCTCCTGGCTCCTGACTTCTGCCTGGCCCAGCCCCAGTCACTGGGGCCTTTGGGGGAGTGAACTGGCAGATGGAAGATCTCTCTCACTGTCTCTGTTCCTCTGAGTTTCAAATAGACGGGTAGATAAAGCTGGAGGGGGCCCAGCTTCCTCCTTCCGGAGTGCTGGTGTTCACAGGCAGGGAGGAGTGGTCCCATGACCTGGGCGGTCCTACCCAGAGCACGGCTGTCCCTGCAGGGCACTGACCCACGCCACATGCTCCAGGCAGGCTCCGGTGGGAGGTGAGTGGCCTGGGAACAGGACACATGGAGGTCAAAATAGGGAATAGCAGCAGCAACAAAAGGAATTAGAGCAGCGATGTCTATGAAGCACTCACTGTGTGAGCACAAGACACTGTGCTAACCCCGGGAGGGCGTGGCCGTGTCTGCTCCCCCAGCCGCCAGGCATGGACCCTTGTTCCTACTGGTGATCTGGCTGAGAGGGAAAGCTGCCGTGTCCCCGAGGGAATGCCCTGGTCTCTGCAACCTCCCGTGTCCTGCCCCTTTCGCCTCCCAGCGACACCCCCTGTTCCTGCAGGTCCTGGGTCTGCAAAGGCTGCTGCAAGAAGGCATTCTGCCTTCTGGGTCCTGGGCACCGTGGCCCGGCTCCCTCTGGGGTTTCGCAGGTTATAGGTTAGAGCTTGGCCGGTTGTTCTTGGAAGAGAGAGGCAGAGCACAAGCAGCTAGGGGGATGCCAGGCTGGAGCCACGCCAAGGTCACCGGTCCCCTCCTCTGCCCGCCCCAGGACCGCAGGCCGGCGGGGTGGCTGGGCAGAGGCGGGGTAAGAGAGCTCGCCAGCTCCGCCAGCTCCTTGTCCCTGGCTGCTCTGCCTCACCAAGGGCAGGTGTGTCGGCCTGAGCTGGGGGAGGAGCTTTGGAAATACCTGTCTCCAGGCCACAGAGAGGAGGACTGGCCCCCTCTCGCCATTAGTGTGATTCATGGCTGTCACAGCTAAGCTGCGGGGGGCAGAATTAGCCAGCTCAGGCCAACTGCTTGTTGATTCTGTGGGGCCAGCCTCAGCCCCGTGGCAGGTTGCACAATAGTAGGGCACCTGCCAGGGCAGGTGATGCTGTGATCGGATGTCCGGAGGACTTGGGGTGGGAGGGGCAGGCGGCGAGGCCCCCCTGCACAACCAGAAGAGTGGGTTCCTGCCCTGAGCCAGGCAGGAGGTGCAGGGCACCTCCTGAGTCCCACGGTCTCTCTAGCTGTGGGAGCATGGGCAGACCCCAGCTTCTCTGTGTTTCCCTAGGGTGGGCTGGGCTTCCTGCCACCTAAGCCTCAGTCTCCCCAAGTGGAGAAGGGCCATTTGTCCATCTCTTCCCCGTTACCTCGTGGGGTCAAAGGGGTAGAAGGGCCGGAAAGCACTGGAAGGCGTGTGCGCTGGGACTGTCACTGGTGGCGGGGCTGCCACGTGTGCCCTGTCTCGTGTTGGGGAGCAGGGCCCCCCTCCATCTGTAGGTCTGGGTGCGCGTTCTCAGTTGTCCACCACTCACCGTTTCATCCTCTGTGAAGCCGGTGTCCCGACACCTGCCTGGCTGAGTGGGGCGGGGGTGGAGTAGACACTCAGGGGTACCCAGAGCTGTGATGTGCACACCGCTGTGGTCAGGAGAGGAGACCATGCCAGGCTGGGAGCAGACGCGACCTGGGCCGAGGCCTCACGGAGGCCAGGGTGGGCTTGGCAAGCTGTGAGGAACACAAGTGGTTGCAAAACCACCTGTGAGCCATGTGAGCCACCTCAGAGGAGTCCAGAAGCCTGGGGGGCGGGGAGCAGGGAGAGGTGGCTTGCCCCTGGAGGCCTTCCTGGAGGCAGGGAGCCTCCAGATGCTCTCTGGAGGCAGGAGAGTGTGGGTACCAGGAGACGAACAGTCCCTGCTCCAGTTCAGGCTCAGCCGGAAATTCTGGGAGAAGCCAAAAATGTATTTCTCCCAGGGGACTATGGGAGAAGTGGGTCCAATGGGTTTGTCCTTGTCACCAGCTGGTGACCTTGACTCCGAGTACATTGGCCCTTGGCAGTTCCCAGGACCTCCGTGCCCCACACTCGGCTGTCTTAAAGCCAGCACTTGAGGAATGGACCTCCGGGGCCCACCTCCTCCCAGCCGTGCTGTATAAGACCCCAGGGCCCTGGCATCTGGAGCCGCAGCCGGAGCCAGTGCTGTTCGGGGTCCAGGACCTGTGGGTGGCGCAGATGGCATCCCGAAGGACTACCTGCCCTGCCCGGTGGCCACGGTTCCAGGCTTCTGAGGGCTGAAGTCAGGCTGTCTCGGGGCTTCTGGCTTCTGCCTCATCGAAACCCCCTTCCAGCCGCAAACCAACACCAGGAAGAGCTGACTTGGAGCCTGGAGTTCAAGGCCATGGCTGATGCGCAGAGACCAGGGCTGGTGTGGAGAGCGCTGTCTGGGCGGCTGAGAGTACAGGCCTCTGCGCTGTGGCTGCCAGCACCGGGGGCGCAAAGGGAGCTGGAAGTCTCTGCCAGGGCCCTCCTTACCCCACCAGCCCGCCAGAGACCACCTCAGGTTTCTGCTCTGAGTCTAACAGGGCAGACAGAGGCCTGTGTGGGAACGCTGAGGCACAGTAGCTGAGGGCACTGCCTGCTGGGACAGTGCTGAAAGGTGGAAGACCCCAAACCCAGAGCAGGAGCGCGTTGATGCCCCCTTTGGCTCCAGCCTGGAACAGACAGGCAAGGGGGCTGGACGTGGCAGGCGGGGGGCTCTCCTGCCTACATCCCTTCTGGGACAGCAGAGTGATGTTCCCATGCCTGTCGGCTCCACGTGGCAGGGAAGATGCAGAGCAGGAACTGGGGCCAGACACGCCGGGGTAGCTGCGCTGCTTGGGTCTGTTTGGGGAGGAGAGGGAGGTGGTGGCAGAGACCCGAGGCTCCTGGACGGGAGGCGCTCCCAGGAGTCTGCTGTGGATGGTGCCCCGCTGGGGCCTGAGCCAGGGGAAGGGGTTGTGTCCCCCGGGCTGGTTCAGGCCGAGAAGAACGAAGCTGCCACTCATCAAGACCCCTTTGGCCTAGCACTTCACAAACATCGTCCCTACTCCTACAGCGACCCCCCAAGGTAGGTGTTAAAGATGGAAGCAGGCGGCGACCTCCGGGGCCATGCAGTCCCAGAGCCAGGGTGCAAAGCGGCTTACTCCAGGTGGCCTGGCCCCTGGCACCCCTGCTGGGAGGAGGGAGGGGCCACCCTGGAGCTGTCCTGGGGGACATGGCAGCCACAGGTCAGGCCTCTGAGGGAGGGTGGGACAGCTCCTTGCCCCAGTGCCAGCCAGGCCCTGTCACTGACCTCAGCCCGCTGGGGTGGGGCGGGGGACAAGGAAGATGACTGAGGAAAGCCGGGGACATGAGCTAGGTAAAGGGACGGGACCACAACTTTGAAGCCCCGGAAAGGACAAATGGGCAGCAGGCTTGGGAGGGGCCCCGGACAGGGGGCAGGGGTGGGAACAGGAGGAGTGAGAGAACCCCCCAAGAAGGGTCTGGGGGGCAGTGGGGGTACTGACCCCCTGCTGCCCCTGCGACACAGTGACTTGTGTGCCCAGGCCGGTGGCGGCACAAGAGGGCGGCCCTGGACCAGCTGGGCCTGCCTGTGCCCCGGCCGGACCGCTGTACCTCCCTGGGGCTGACGGAGCCATGGAACAACGCCAGGGTCCACGCCGTGCTGCCCCAGACTCTGGGGTCCAGGACCGAACCAACAAAGAGAACTTCTCACTTCTCGGAGCTTAAATTCTACCTGGGAGAAAGACAAGAAAGGAAAGCCCATGCCCTGTGGGACAGTGGTGCGTGTGCACAGCAGAGGTAACTGAGAAGGG